CTCTCCGGAGCGTTGTCGATGATCCAGTCGCAGTCCGGCTTGATGTCTTTCAGGTAGTCCTCCCGGGGGGGCGGGGGGGCGGCCTCCCGGCCCGGAGGGGGAGACGAGGATACGGGGGGGGCCGGGGAGAGGAGAGTGAGGGGAGGAGGTCGGGGAGAGGAGGGGGAGGGGGAGAGGGAGAAGGGGGAGAGGAGAGGGTCAGGGGGTATGCATGTATGTATGTATTTGTATGTACATAAAAGAGAGGGGGGAGACAGAGAGAGAGAGAAGCAACAAATGATAAACAAAAAAGAAATTGGGAGAGAGATAGAGAGAAAGAGAGAGAGAGAGAGAAGGAGAGAGGAGGCGGAGGAGGAGGATGATGAGAAGGAGGCGGAGGAGGAGGAGGATAATAATAATAATAATAATAATACGAGACACAAACAAATAGAGATGAAAAGGGGGAGAAAGATGAAAAGGAAGCGGAGGAGTCGAGGAGTCGGAGGAGTCGGAGAAGGAGAGGAGGGGAAGGGGAGTGGAAGAGGAGGAGGAGGAGGAGGAGGAGGAGGAGGAGGAGGAGGAGGAGAGGAGGAGGGGGGTGGGGGCGGGGTCTCTTGTTTGTGGTATTTGCAAGCCCTCATCACCTGCATCACCCCCTCCCCAACCTGGTGAGCGCATACTCCGTGCCTCAGCGGGCTTAACATTCTTTCCGTTTTTCTCCGTCGCCCTCGCTGCTTTTTGCTACTCTCGCCAGGTCCTAGTTGTTTGCCACTGCGCCCGAATGGGTTATGTGTCTCGTGCGTTCTACAGGAATGCAGCAGCCGTACAGCTCATGTCCGATCAACGTCACAAAGAAGGAGGGAGGAAGGGAGGGAGGGAGGGAGGGAGGAGGACCACGACGAGGGGGAGGGGGAGGGGGAGGGGGAGGAGGAGGAGGAGGAGGAGGAGGAGGAGGAGGAGGAGGAGGAGGAGGAGGAGGAGAAGGAAAAAGAGGAGGAGGAGGACGAGGAGGAGGAGGAGGAGGAGGAAAAGGAGTCCGGACAGTGTTCGCGAGCGACGAACATGCCCCCACCCATGCCCGCGGGGCCTGGGCACCGAGGCGCGATCCCACGGCTGCAGTCCCGCGGAGACGCGCGCCATCCACCGTGCCAATGAAGGGGCCCTGGGACACACAAATAAACAGATCCCCCATATTTTTCTATATTTTCTGGGTGTTGTCTTCCCCCACAATTCCCATATGTTCCCATATTTTCTTGGGAATCGACGATTAATTGTGTCCGTGTGTGTGTTTTCCCCTCCTGAGCCAAAGCAGCGTCAAGGGTGCTATTGGGTGCCAGAGCGTTTGGGAGATCCCCCGCCTGCCCCGTTCACATCAGCAACTGCATGCCTCGCGCAGCATCCGCCCAGGAACAGCCACCCTCCATGGCCGCGCTCTCCTCCGCGCCCCCCAGCCCTCTCCCACTGCCAGGACACACTCGCAGACGAGTCGGGCCTGGGCCAGCAGTCTCCAGGATGGGGGAGCATGCCGCTCGCGAGAAAGGGGAGGTCCTGAGGGTCGCGGAGCCCGAGCTGCAGTGCAATTCCCAGACGCCCTCTGGCGCGTGCTGATCACGTCCATCGGCGAGCGCAAGGCAAGTGCATAATTCACGCAGCCGCGCGCTCAGTTGCTGACCGCGCCGCGGACCAGTCACCGAGTCGACCGCGCGGCCCAGGCAGATGGCTCCCATTCGAATCCAGCTCGCATCACATCCAATAGCCCTGACCGCCGCCTTCCCCTTCAGGGGACCCCTTGCTCGAGCTCAGGGCCGGCTCTTCAGTGTCGAAACAGAGCCGCTCGCGACTCCACCCGGCTCCTTTCGCGCGCCCACGCAAATTTGGACACCCGAAATGGGTACCGAAAGAATGGGCACAATGCCCAACAACAAATGTTGTCCCGAACCAACAGCGGCCGCTGTTGGGCAGGCGGCCTTCTGTCTCGAATGGACACGGGCCGCGGCGGCGTGGACAGCGAAATCCTGTTCAGAATGAACAGGAACTGCAGTTGGGCATAGTACCCATTCTTTCAGAACCCATTTCGGGCGTCCAGAGCAAAGCTAGACCCTGCGAAATGCTTAAGAAATCATGGGTTAAGAAATTCAAAGTCTCAGAACTTGAATAAAAACCCCACATGTCCATTCAAATCTTAAGATTTACATTGAAACGTTAAGAATGATCGAGACTCTGGCCGAAAACTTAAGTTTTCTTAAGCATCGCCTAAGGTGTAGGTGCCGCGGCCACCAACCGCGCGAACCTCGCCCTCGATGCTGAAGGGGGCCTGCGAGAGGTCTGCCGCGAACCCGCCTGCTCGCTGCTGCGGCGGCGCCTCCCCGCCCGACGCCCCGGGGACCTCGGGCCCGCGCGGGGCCCCCGGGGGCGGACCGGGCAACCGTGTCCATATGGCACGAACTGCAAGCTGCTATTTCTCAGGGGGACGTAAGACCCGGGTACGGAGGACTCGGAAATCCCCGACGAGGTCGTCAAA